ATACAGAAGAAATGCTTCAAAATGTTTGTCTTAGTGCTTCTTACTTCACTGTGCAAGCTTGAGCCCAAGAGGAGCCTGGTTATCAGTCAAAGCGCAGGTTACAGACTGCAGACACTCCCTGTCAGGACCAGAGGTGGCTCTTAGATCTGCCCAGATTTACAGCTCCATTTGCAAGGCTCTCCTTCATGCCTTGCCACATCCCACAGAGCGGCTGCGGTCATGCTCTTCCTCACAGTACAAAAACATGACCAGAAGGGGAAAGGGCTGAGTCAACTCTGCTGGCGTGTTGCTGCCTTCATAGCAACACTGGGGAAGGTCTTCCAGCATCCCACAGCTACCACCACATGTTTGTTTTGTAATCAGAGCTCCCAGCACACGGCCTGACGAGCAGTAGAGCATCCCAGCTGGCCAGGGTCCTGGCTGAGGAGGCGAGCTGGCAGTCAACAGGGGTGAGACAGGCAGCATGCACCAGCGTGAGCATGCCCAGACAGGCTGCCCAGACCCAGGCAGCCCTCCGCGGTGGGCTCTGCTGCCCACAGGGCTGCTGGCAGGGCATGGACAGAGGTTGCCTACACCGCCCAGCAGGAACGATTGTCCCCAGCAGGCAGCGTCCTGGTTTTGGAAGGGGAAACTAAGCTTGTTCTTTTAGAATTAACTCAGACCTCTTAATCAGCGCCCTAAAGAGCATTTGTCACTCCCTAAGGTGTGGTAACAGGAATATTTTGTAGACTAAGGGTCTTTTTTCAGATTAAATTGCATTCAGTAGCCTATTTAAAAATAATGTTAATAGTAAATTGAATGTTTGGTTTATAACCAAGCACACATCTTCCCCACCCAACACGGCAACATTCCATTTCCCCCCCAAAAGGCCAAATCATCATTTTATAAAAACACCTATGTACATATACATATCCAGGGGCCTAATCCTATTCAGCTCCTGGCTTGCTTAGACTTCCTGCCCTCTAGTCCCATCCCCAGCATTACCAAAAGCCATCCAACAGTTGGTTTCTCCACCTGGGACTACTTGGAAGTTAACAGTTTGGACCCCATTTGCTCACACCACAATCTTCTTTTTCTTGTTTCACCTACTTACCAAAAGCGTAAGTAATCACAGGGAAAAAAAAAAAAATAAGAAAATGTATCTCAACTGTTTTATTTATTGCCGCCTTCTTTGTCTCATGGCTCATTAGCTGACATTAAAACTGTCAGAAAAGTCATCTATTTTGTTCAAGCAAGTTATCTTGTTCTGTAGATCTTTTATTTCTGACTCAGTTATTCCTCAGTAATTATGAGTACAGTCTAATAAACTCATCCTCCTTCCAGAAAAAAAAGGCATTTTCATAGAGGATTCTTATTTGTTTTGACAGAAGAACAAAGCAATCTGAAATCTTCCATTTGAAAAGGATTATGTTTGAACATTCTTTCCAATTTCTATTCTGGAAACTATCATTTTTTCTATTTTCCACATAGTTAACTAATTTTGTTTTCTGTGCTTCAGTAATATCAGAGATCCCTTTTCTCTAAATTCATAGAGAATTTAACTTCATTTTGTTCCATTCCTCCCCCTTTTTCTCTTTGATGGTCAAAAGAAATGGTCAGCATCTGTAGTCTTAAAAAATACTTCTATGTCGTATGAGAAAGTTTGGGAGAATACATGATCCAATAGTCTTTTTCTCTAGAAATGTGCCTGATTTCCCACCTGCTTTTTTTTATTTAAAATCTACCATGACTTGGGTCATCCATATTTCCCCTTCCCTGCACCATCATAATGTGCAAAACAATCCAGTAACTGAACAGCCCTATGAAAATGTGGATGATGCACACATCATCCACAGAAAGAAAATGTGGAAAAACAAGCAAACTACTTTATACAGTAATAATAAACTCTAGAGCAACACAAGTCGAAGAGTAATTTAATGTGATCTGTCTTTATGCTTCCTAATTCTAATTCAGCAAAGCATTTAAATGCTTTTGAACTTAATTTCTTTGAGGAACCATGGTTCTACTGCATTAATTCCTGTGCTTTGAAGAATATCTTATCAACAATATGCTGAATAGACAAAAATTCAGTTGCATATATTTTAATACACTCATAACTTTATAACACTTTTTTCTCTTTGCATTGTGGTTTTATTAGTACAATGTTTATGGCACGTAAATTATTTCATTTCAATATCTACAATTTCAATATTTTAATTTGTTGAGTTTTGCCTTTTTTAGCACTGCCAATCTAAAATAATGAAGCTGTCTTCATTGGAGTTGGTTCAGCTATTATTTGGAGAAAAAAAATCTTCCCCTGTAACTATACCATCTATGATTTCACATGTTACTTTTTTTTGTGTATGTGTTCTGTTGATAAATCAAGAATCCTTTACCACAATAAAAGAGTAATTATGAACAGATAGCAAACTCTTAATCCCATACCTTTTATTAATACAAACCAACCTAGTGAAAATAATCTACTGAAAGAGAGGTGTCTGCTGGCACAGCCTTAATACACACTTTCAGGTTTCTATCACATGTCTTGTGTTGAATACACTTTGGTTTAAAAAAGAAGAAAATGTTTGAAACAAGTTTTGAAAACATTCATAAGCCTATTTTAGTATTTTGTTTTCCAAAGGTAAGACTAAGCTCAATGCTGTATGAAACAAACCTTAAAAAAAGATTGCAAGTCAGTTTAAACTTTGTTCAGGGGTTAATTAAATTACATGGGTCAAAAATCACCTGAACTTTGTTCATGTCAAATTACTACTTTACTTTTTTTATTTGCTTTGGCTAAATGAACAAAGACATCAGTACCCTTCCAAAAGTAAAGCAAATACAAGGAATATTAATAGTCAGCTAAGAGGTCATATTCCTTGATGAACATTAGAATTAACATTTAAAAAACCACAGATCCACTCTGAGAAAAAAAAAAAAGGCATTCGAAAGCCCTTATTGTACTTTCTGTCGGCTTAACATGCAAGACAGTAATCAAGCTTTGCTACCAACTTCATGTGAAAATCTGCCTCCCCTGAAGTAATTTGGAGAACTTTGCTGGTGGCTTCTGTGGGGCTGGAACTTCCCTGGTGGTGCCACGGCTGCTCACAGGATGGCAGGATACAGGACTGCTGAGCACGGCAGGAGATTTTAAGTCTCCTGGCAGAGATTAGGAAATCATCTCACAACCATAAAATATGGCCAAATATGCATACCTACTTTGTGACTGGCACTCTCAGAGACTATTTCCTAAAGTTATGAATGTATTATCTGGGCTGAGTGGACGTAATTTTGCAATGCAATTTATTTAACTTGCAAAATATGGTAAAATATGCTTTGTATAATATTTACTAATGTGATGAAGAAAACAGGTTTTGCTGTTTAGTAATAACTCAAGCAGAAGTGCCTATACAACCAGCAAAACACAAGCTGAAACTACTTATATTCTCTCACAAAGAATTAGAAAATTATTACATCTTTTTCCACCCTCTAAATTCCCAATCAACACATCTTGTCTAAAAATATTTACATTTCAATCTTTTATTTTACTTTGACATTGTGGTGCTTTCTTAATTTGAAGCCTATATAATTTAATATTAACTTTTTCCTTTATTCCATTTATTAAACTTTACCTGAAAAACAATGTCACATTACAAAACAAGAAAGGAAATTTATTTTAATCCGGGTAGCCACAGGAGCATAAGAATATATGATTTACCATATCTCCTCAAATGACAGATTTGGCAAAACCTTGGGAGTTTTTTGGTTTTTTTACTAACAAGTCACTGAGAAATGATTCTTCAGAGGCAAGTGAAATAAAAGCAACCTATAATGCTTTGACCCCCTAGCCATATACCAAAATTACCACACTTTCTTGAAAAAGTCTCATTTTTCTTAAAATAGTCTGCTCAGTTTTAGTGAGTGGGTTATCATTTGCCGAGATACTGTAAAAAGTCCACAATGGCCAGACATAAATAGGTAAGTCTTCTTCACTGTTCCACACATCCATATAAAATATATAATTGGAAGAGACAACTAAAAAACATAGAATCACGTTTAAGTGTGCTATTAAAACAGATTTATTGTTCAAATTTCTTTTAAAAAAGTCATGAAGTTTAACAACACTCAGAAAGGGTGATAGACAAGCAGATTTTATGATTAAGAGGTGATTCTGTACACTTCATCACTGCTTTGCTGAAAATAAAGACTTTAGTAATTCAACTATTTTCTGTAGTGGATAAGCATTTTAAAATAACTTTTTATTAACTCAGAACTGCCACTTATTTGGCCTACTGATTAATTGCCCAAGGAATACAGCAGCTAGAAAAAAAACTTTCAAGGCACCATGACCAAGGGCAACATGCAATTTTAGCAAATATATCTACACCAGGCATATGACTGAACTCTGTGAAATAGCCTTTGCTGAAAAAGCGTAACTTCTTGTTTTGGCACAAGAGCAGACTAAGGAAGACAACAGAAGAAAAAAATCCCTTGTTCTAACTTTCTGCTAGTCCCTCTGTCTAAATTCCAGCTAACTGTCTTGAAGCTAAAGTTCTTATGTGTAAAAATGCAGAGAGAGGTCCCGTTTTGCAAGAGAGGCAGCAGCGGGACAACCCCCTCTATATTTCATCCCTGTCACCCAGAAGTAAAGCACAATAAATGTCACTGAAGCTGACATTCATTAGCCAGTACTTCCCAAAACTGTGAACTGACCTCAGGTGGCCCATGCCTTCAATGCCTCTGCAACAAAACTGGAGGGCTATGCGTTGTTCACGTATTGCCTATCATTTTCATAACTGAAGTATTATGTTTCCCAGGGATTTTCTGTTTGTTGTCTCTAGGCTGCTGGCTTTACTCTATCCATTTGGCTCAGTCTCCTTACTAAACACTAAAAATCAGCCCAAGCTGGTATCTGTAGAGTAGTGAACAGAAATAAATATCTGTTTTCCATGCATGTCTAGCAGGTAGGGAAGCACAAAAGAAAATTTTACTTTGTTCTGTCTCCTTACGAAACGCACATTTCAGTGAAGAAGCTGTATGTTTCTTTCTGAGTGTTCCTCTGGTGCCCTTGCCACATCTTTGAGGCAGACACAGGGGAAGTAGCGGTGCTGATGAGAGTGAATCAACCCTTCAAGACGTGTAATGATTTCATAGTCAGGAAGGGCCAGGCTGGCAATGTTGAGGCCCAGCATCCGCGAGACCACCTCTCGGAAATCTGCCAGCTGCAAGAGCAAACAGAAAGAAATTACTAATAAATTAAGTATCAAGCAAAGGAGATGCCTGGGAAAAAAACATATACAAATATGCATACATACAAAACCAAGCATTTGTATTAGCAGTGCAAAATATAGGAGTATCTGTTGTTGCTCAATACAGAGAGCTGAAGAGGATGGAAACAGCCTCCTGGGGCGTACCTCAAACAACAAAAGAAGTAAAGAGCTGAGGTGCTAAGGATCTTGAACACAAAACACAGTCTCAAGTGTTCTTTAGTACCCTTCACAGACATATCTTCCCTGCTGACTCAACAGCGAGAACTGAGGGAAAGACAGGAAGAGGAGTTGTGCTTGACCTAGATGACTGCAAACTATACAAAGAACTGGAAACTCTGGTGGGCACATCCCACAGCATAGGCTAAGGTGCTGGTCCTGACCTCAAGCTCCTGACCACTGCCTGACACTGCTCCCCTCCACCTTGCACTTTCTTGTGGAAACCACAGCAGAAAGGAGGAAGTTAGAAGAAAGGTGGAGGTTTGGCACATCCTTCGGTCTGACTTAGACTTGGAATCAGGATGCAGCCAAAATTCAAGATGCAGCCTCAGAAATGCTCATTTTTCTTCTGTCCATAGCTGCTGAAAATATATCATAGGAAGGGTATTTGGCAAAGTAATTAAAGAAACCAGCTTTCTCTCTGCAGTTCCAAATGGACAGACATCCACAAGTAATTGTCATCACCAGTGACCCTGCCAACAACTAGATAAAAACTTAAGATCAGATGAATGTGAATGCTGATTTACTCTTCTCAACTCGCAATATGAATCATTCTGAGTCAAACTTCAATGCCTCTTCAATGGACAATGCATTACACAGCCCAAATAACCAATGCCTTAATACCCCTTATCATCAACACACAATTAAAAGAGGAAAATGTTCCTATTTGAGGAAATATTCTTGTCTTGCTATCTATTTGAACATCAAGATCCCCATTCCCAAGCATGACAGGGACTCAAAATGTCACAGAAATATCAAAACCATCAAGAAGCTGGACTCGTGCTCTGGTGTGGCAGCACCATCACTTCACCAATCACGCTGACGGCTGATGGTAAGGAGGAGAGAAACACACTCCTGAAGCAGATAAAAGCACTGCTGAAATACGTATCCATCCCCAAGAATACTGTGCAGAACTCTAAAGCAGTTACAACATCTGTGAGGCAAGCTGCAAAAACCCTGAAAACAAGGTATCAGCTGCAAGATTTTGCCAAAGACAGTTTGTTTCATCCCATTACAAACCCTAAGGAGCTGCCATCAGTTCAGAAAAACCAATATGGAAACCAAGGCAGCATAGGGCAGAAGGATTTGAGAATTCAGTCCCAGCTACCTGTCTTACCAAGGCAGTGCTATGTCTTGGATGAAACATTGGAACAATGTAACACCAAAAACCCCCAAATTCCCACATATTCTCTCCAACACCAGGTTGGGAGATCACTGATGTGGGGCTTTGGCAGTGTGCTAGGCAAGCACAATTTAGCAGAAGCTAAAGATTTTTTTTAAACATCTGGATCACAGACAGAACAGGCAGGGAGCAGAGCTGGAATTTGTTTCCATACAGACTTTATGTTAAAAGATCAAGGCAGCCTTCTGCAAAGATCCAGTCTTTGGATGAATTAAACCCCCACAAGATGTCTATACAGCAAACCCAGCTGATCCCCTGGGAGCATTAGGGTCTGTGCTTTGCACCAGATTTCTTGCTCTCGTATCTTTGCTACTGCAAGCTGTTCAACTTAATCATGGCAACTGTGGGTAAAACAGATAGCACAACCATGTATCAAATCCAGTCAAATTAAATTTGCTGCACTGTCACAGATTATTGATTCAGCATAATTTTGCCAGAGGGAAGAGATACAAATTAAAACATATACACAATCATCTCAGTCTTTATTTCTGATGGGAAAAGCAGGTCATAGCTATACTGAATGGACAATAAAGATGTTAAGAATTCAATAACTTTCATCAGCAAATAACCTAAACTGCAAAGCACACAGAGCCCTTAAAGAAATCCTTTAAGCCATTCATTTATGTACATTTTAAGTTGAGGATTTTTTTCCACTTTAATGGAACAACACTAGACAAAACCCAACTTTTCTGAGTATTATACCATGGCATATAAAGCACAGTGCAGGCAAAGCTGTAGTTCAGTGGAAATGCAGAAAAAGGGTTGACTATAAAGAGAAATTCTCCACATAAACTGAAAAAGAAAACCATCACTCTTGGATGCAAAAATGCCCCACCAGGGGACATCAATCTTAATTTTAAAAACTTCAAACAAAAGCAACAGACAATACATGCTGGGCGATCTTTAGAACATTACTGCACGTCTCACATAGAGCAAGACACATGTTTACACCCTTAAGTGGATACAGTGCTGTAAGCACATCATGAACAACTTTTTTAAATCTTGCACTAAAACATATAAGACCTAGAAAAAAAAAATAGATGAGAAATGTATTTCAGCTTTAAAAACAATGCAACAGAGGTATTAAGAACACAACAGTTCTGCTGAAATACCACAAGCCAATAAACATACCACCTAACTTTCTTTTAAGGCTTTCTTCAATAGCAGTTGATATTTCTAAGAGAGTCACAATTTGAAGTAAAGGAGAAAAATAATAAAAGACAAACATCACTAAAGACTCAAAACCAAAGGTTTGCTACAGCCGTAAGCACTCATAATAAATTTTCTTTGCACCTTCCATCCAGTGAGTAAAATTATCTGAAGTAAAAGAGAGGAATTGAATGCAATTTAGAGCATTAACCCAAGATATTAGGAGCGGGGACCAGAAGTAAAAAACAGATGCTACATTTTGTTTTCACCCTGTACCTACTGGAAAGTAGAAGGGGTCTTATTCCAATAGAAAGAAGAAAAAAAAAAAAAAAAGGAAACTAAGACTGGAAACAATCCTTATAACGAAACCATCAAAACCTCAACCAGAACATTGACATTATTACTCTAAGCACTACTGCAAATAAGGACTTCAGTTAAATTGATGTAAAAATAAAATATATTCAGATTTTGACTGCATGTTTTTTTCAGGTGTACTCTGCTTTCCATGGATATCACTATGTGTAATGTTAAATAACATTGTAATACTGTGTGGCTGTTTTTAAAGAAGTATGCCATTGGCTTTCAACAATTATGCCATCTATAATGTTGCTACAAACCACAATATGCAGGGAAATTACATACATACTTCACAATTTTTTGAAATTAGAATGGAACAGATTTACTAATGTGTTTCCCACAAACTCCTTATACCCTCCCCAAAGTGAGCTACCACAAAAATTTTTCCTACCTAAATTTTAACAAAGTTATATGTCACAAATTGATCCAGAATAGTTACATTCAATATTAAGTCTGGTTTGATTTGGTTTTGGTTTTTTTTTTTTAATTTTCTGATCTTTTCCAACATTCTTTGAATTTATGGCCTATACATCATAACATGCAAGTTAAGTTTTATACCTAAGATATATGGAAAAAACATACCTCAAAAAGATACTAGGAATTAAAAGCATTTTTATACTTCTCCAAAAAGTGATATAATATTTTGCAGTGAACAAAGAAAACAATGCCTGTATTTATTATTCATTCTGTTGCATCTATAACTTGAAGAATAGCTTTGCCTCTCAGAATCACAACTACCACTCTGGCTCACAAGTGTGAGCTAAAATTTCCTTGTTTAATAATGTTCACAAAATTTTTCATCACAGCTGGATAGCTGGTACATCTATACCACATTCTTATATTCTAAGTGACAGCTAGCACTTGTCAAATACCTATACACCTACCTGTCTCTCTCTTCTTGCTAATTCTGCAAGGGTTGTTTTAAGCACTTTCACCTCACTGGTAACAGCTTCTAACATATTTTTGTTTTTTTCTTTATCTTCAGTAGCTTTACGCTCCTTTAAAAGAAGTTCTGATTTGACAGAGTTAAGTTGTTTCTCAGCCTTTTCTTTCATTCTTTCCAATTTGCCTTGAGACTTATTGAGTTCTTCTATTGTTCTGTTCTGCTCCAAAGTTTTGATCTGCAATAACATACAGTAATGTTAAATTTGTCACATTTTTTCATCTAACGAACAAATAATCAGGAGTAATCATGAGTAAGCACTTTAATGTGGTTTCTTATGGGTTCTTGATGAAATGTTCAATGAGCAAGCAATGAAAGTGTTCAAAAAAAGAGTAGATGTGGCACTTCGGGACATGGTTTAGTCTAGTCTACCCTTGGTTGGTTTAGTGTGGATTTGATAGTGTAGGTTAATGGTTGGACTGGATGATCTTAAAGGTCTTTTCCAACCTAAATGATTCTATGATTCTATGAAATCACATGTATCTGTGAACTGACAAGTTATTAAAGGAGACTAGCCAATTTCAACTCAATTAACAAAAAGATTTTTGTTTCAAAGACAGTTAATTCTCTACAGGTTTTGTGAAAAGAGGTAACTGGACAGAAAAAAACCCACAATGAGAGTTCACTCTCTGCTAGCACCTGGAAAAATAGTATGAAAAAGAGTTGCCAAATGGTAAAAATCCTTCAGCTGGAACATGCAACTACTTATCTATTTCACTCTATCAGCCACAAGACAAAAACTCACAAAATATCAATCTTCCTTCCAGCAGTGGCAAGCTATCAATGACTGCAAACTACCTGTTTTCACCTGCATTAAAGCAGGTAATTTATTACTGCTGCAATGTAATAAAACACAGGAACAATGAAAATTTAGCATCTTGCCTGGTTTATGTGGAAAAAAACCCCTTTTTCCCCCCCATACCTATCAGAATAGATCTTCTGTGAGCAACATATGGGGAAATATAAGATTACAGCCATATCGACAGGAAAGAAAGGGATGCACGTATCATATTTTTCTTACACCAGCCTAAAAATTTACATTGTGCTTTACAGATGCTAGTTAGTACATCAAGACAACTTGCAAAATACCCAAAACAATGTAATATGTGCTTTCCCCACCTAGATGGATTTCAGCAGTTCTCCATGAACACATTTATTGTAAATGAACTCCAGCTATATCCAACTGAAATAGAAAAGTGGACAAAGCACAAATGTAATCTTTTAACTCACCTTAAGTTCATTGGTTTCAGACAGCTTGGCTTTGAGATCAATATTCGTGTCCCTTGCCAGATCAAGCTGCTTCTGTAACCTCTCTATCATCTTATGTAACTTTCTGACAGCAAGATTGGCCTCATCCCTCTCCACAGCTAAGGCGGTCCTTACTTGCTTCTCTTCTTCCAGCTGGGTTATTTTCTGCCGCAGAAGGTTCATGTGCAGCTCTTTGCTTTCAAGTTTTTCTTTCTGAGTCTTCAACTAGTTTTCCAAACACAAGGATATTTGAAAAAACGTATGTGAAAGACAATGGTACTACACAGATTCTTTTGCAGAATTAATCCCTACTTTGCATATTTAACCTGAACTCCTATTCCTCTGTTGAAAACTCTGTAAAGCAGTATAAGCATACATACACTAACTTGATACCTCTTATATTACCAATTCATTGTGCTTCTCCATCCCTGAATTTGTGCACTACCTTTTAGAATAAATTTACATATAGACTGCACCCTATTTGAACATAAACACTTGTGCATCATTCATAACATCTGAGATTGTCTGAAATATAAAACAGTAGTCAAATGCAAGAGGTAAGAGAGACTCATTAAGGAGACTGTGGTTTCAGTGGTGGTAGTTTAAGGTATTTCCATCTTTAATCAGTCATTTAAGGCTAGTGTGCAAGAAGGAGAATCAACATACAGAAATAAGAAAACTTTCATCCACTGCTCCAATACAAGGTCCAGCAGCTTAGTTTTGCAATTTTGGTGCCTAGGGAGCTACTGGTTTTCAGTTTACCTGAGCTGAGCTGCCAGGCTTTACTCTGGAACATCTGAGGAGTATTAACATACACATTATACCTGCTAGAGAGGCAGTTGCTCCCAGAAAAAAATTCAGTGTTGTTTTAAACCTTAAACAGACCTAATTCTAAGATCTAAACCATTCTGATAAGCCTAAAACCAGAAGATTTCACTCTGTCATAACAGGATGACAGAGGGGTGTCTAACCAAATTTGAAGAGATTTGCTCCTAAAGGAGCACAGTTCTTGTTGGAAATGTTGAAATTCTTGATGAAGTACAACCGACGTCCTACTAGTTTCTAGAGAAGTTTGTGTAAGATGCCTCCCTTCCCAGCAGATCCTTTTAGATTTACATATCAACAGTAGTTGTTTACAGAAGTATATTATAAATGTATATTAAAAAGCAGACATATACACATATAAACATGCATAACTTTATACATTTATTTAAGCAGTTGTGAAAAGCAGTTATCATGTATTTAACCAACTGGTGGTTTTAGTTGTTTTAATATGGAGTCTGTTTGCACAGTTTGCAAATGTTTACCATCTTCTTTTTATGTAACAGACATCTTTGAAATTCCTTGTACATACATGAAGCTCCAATCTGCTGCCTCTAGCGAGCCACTATAGAAGTATACAAACAGCAACAGTATGTCTTTTTTGCCTACCTTCCTTCGTAGGCTATATGCCATAGTCTTGTTTTCAATCACTGCGTCACCTTCCAGTTTCACTAACTGCTCCACCCGGGCTAGAATCGCATCCACATTCATATCAAATCCAACCTCTGCTGCTAGGCTATCCAGCTTCATCTTCTCATTAAGTTGCTCCAGAAATTTCAGATACTAAGATAAGATGTGGAAAAGTGGGTAAAAGATTAATAAAACTTCATTAAAAGTCCTGAAATACAATTTAAAAGCAATACCACCTGCACCAGCAACAGACTATACATAGCCAAGTCGCTATCTACAAGAAATAATGTACTGAAAGGGTATGTTTATAGTTCACGCTCCTCACACAACTGCAAATTCTCCATTTGTCCTTTTTTAGTCATTTATTTTGTTCATAAATCCCTGGACCTACTCTATTTATCTTCTTAGCAAGACCAGATTGGTTTTTGCTCCTGTGCAGTAAGAAGAGCACTAGGTATGTGTGTCTGCTTCTGACTCTAGTTCCTGTGTGTGGCTCTGCTGCTTTACACAACCATGCATTGGCAGGAGAAAGTTAGAAAGGACAGCTACATCCCAATGAATTGCAAGTGCTGTGATTGCCCACTGCTGTGAGCTCTAAAACAGATAAAAATGGTACCAGGGATGCCATGGGTGAGATCCGATGTAGTCTGAGGAGACACAGGAATGTTAACATGGTCAGTCTTTTGCCCTTCTTTTGAACAGCAAGTTTTAGAGATAACAGTTATTGGTTTACAAATTGCTTTAAAGTTTATTTTAATTGCATCTCCATCTGGTTTACTGATGTAAACACATACAGATATAAAATATTATTTAATCTGATTTTTCCTTCTTTTGTCCTGCCCTGCTAGCTCTTTAAAAATTTCATTAGTTCCCTGGTCTCAGCCTCTCTTGCAAAATCCAAAGCTCTCCTTCTCACTAAGAACTATGTTTGCCCTTGTTTTCTCTTAGTTCTGTTGCAGGTCATAATCTTTGCAAAGAAAGAACAAAGGAAAAAAAAAAAAAACCACAGCAAACCAGTTCCACAACTGTTGCTTGAGCCCAAGATGATAAAACATAGCAAGAATCTCTTTTTGTTTTGTGATGCTTCTGGTTCAAAATGTTAAAACCAGCAGCAGCAGAAAGCACTGAAGTTGTTATTAACAGAAAAAAATCACAACAAAAATCTGAGAGACTGCAGACCAGATGATATATTAGAGAAAGACAGGGAGAACAGAGAAAGCTTTGAGATCACAGAACCTTGAAGGACTACTGCTGTATTTACAGAGACTTCTTTTAATCTGGGTTTTTTTTCACATTAAATGGACTTTGAACTCAAAACCTTAGCTACTTTTTCCAACTAAAATTGTTGGTCAAATAAAAGATACTACTACTCCCCACATGATGCCAGACTGCTAATTCACATTACTCGGAGTACTGTGAGTAATACTCCAGCTGATCAATGCAATATGATTAGCTGTATCTCAATCTTTAGTGACTTTTATGCAAAAGAAAATAACGCATGCAACTACTTTTTGTTTCTCAAGCTTCAAACCATCTTGCATCAGATCTACAGACAGTAATTCCTCTTCCAAGTGTTTCAGTTGATCCTGGAAAGTCTCAGAACATTTTTCAGCTTTCCTGCTCCTCTCCAGAGCTTCTTGGTACAATCTGGTCTGATTTTCCAAAGCTTCAGTCAATTTAGCTATTTGGGTTTCAAGCTGAGATACCACCTAGGGACCAAGCAAACCAACAAAACATATGGGGTTAGGTGGGTGTGAAAATGTTAGAAAGATATGCAAGATGCATTCTCAAATTATTAAAAACAGGGTAAGATATCTAACTTTAAAATACATACATTTAAAAAGACAAAAAGAGAAAAACCTGCTGTAACCACCAGGAGAAAATGGCAGAGACATGCGAGACACCCAAAAGTGAACAGCAGAAACCGTATTTAAGATGAGTCAGCCAACTAAAAGGGGCTAATATCTATAAAAAATGAATACTAATTTAGACACAAACTTTCCAAAGATGTTAGCAAACCACCAATACCTGGCAGTCAACTAACATTCTTTAAAATGAGCCAATAAAATCACTAGTCTATCAAGGAGCTGAGTGGAAAAAACAGATAAGAGTGATTTAGAAAATACATGCAGCATGTAGGTGAGAATGTAGATAGGGATAGCTAAGTCTCAGAGGAGTGCTTCCCAATTGTTAACTGTTAAAGAGTATTTAACTAAAAGATTTTGCTAAAAAAAAAAAAAAAAATTCTATAATCTAGCCAAAGCCCAAGGCTAAAAGGATAAAATCTCATAACAAGAAACTAGACTAACAATTCTGAAAACGCTTCTAGCTCTACACTGTTAATGTTGCAACACTTACATATAATGTAATGGATTTTAAGTTGTAAACTACTTATAAATTAAATGCTTGAAAGCATCTGATTACACTACTACCAAATACAGAAAGACAGTTCTATCCAAAACTTGTTTGCTTCCCTCTTTCC